TCTTACAAAGCAGAAGACAACTGAGGTGACTTGCCAAGGGTGAAACGAGCGTGCAACATTTAGTCTTCTTTGATGTCAGAATCACAGTTACAAATTGTAAACCGCAAGCTATAGCATGAAAAGTGTAAGCAATGCATCATTGCTACATCGCAGGGTTGGCGGATCCACAACCTAAAACTACAGTACGGGAAGTGGGAGCGCTACCACTGCACCACACTGCCACACTCTAGCGAGCGTTTTAAGATATACATAAACAAGCAAATAAGCAAGTGACGTTGCGCCGCCGCTGCCGTCCCCTTCTCATTGCCGCTGTCCCCTTCCTCAACTTTCCCTCCAAAAAGCCAATCAGCCAAATAGCCAATCAGCGCACTGGGGCCGTCAATTGACAAGAGTGCCCCCTCCTTTCCAAGGCGCATGGGCTGTTATAAACTTCCATTTAACGTTATAAATTTATGATAGAACAAAAAACTGAGGCGCATTATCTAAAGTTATGGTATCCGGCAATCCTCTAATTGTCATATAGCGCTGAAAAATATGAATTAATGCGGTGGTAGTCAATCCGTCTTCCAATTCCATATGAATAGCCCTTGTAGTAAAACAAGTAAAAAGTGCTATATATATTTTGGATACCCTTTGTCTTCTTTCCTTAGAAGTATTAATGTTGAGTGGCACCATGTAATCTATTCCAATATGCTGAAATGCTCGAGAAGGACAAACTCTTTCTGCCGGTAGGTCAGGCATTATAGATAAACTAAAAGGTTTGGCCTTTCAGCGTTTACAGTGATAGTATTGCTAGTTAAGAACCTTTCTTACTGTTTGTCTGCACTTCTCAAACCAATAGAATTCTCTAATAGCTGTTAATGTATGAAACATGCAAACTTTTCCCATAAAAATTTAGAATAAGCAAAAGGGTCGGTCGGTCATTATAAGGTTAGAATATAGGGGGGGAGTTCCATGTCTCAGCATTATTTAATCTCGCGTAGACCCTAAATACATCTTCTTCACCCTTTCTTAAATTCCATTTTTGAACTTGTTCTAGCCCAAAGTTTTGTTGGGCTTGTAAATGAAAATGTTTTCAGCCTCTGTTTTTAGATTTAGATCTATTGTTTCAGAAAAGTTTTCTTAATTTTTAAATAAAAACAACAACGTGTGGGGCTACTTATCTCAATCTCATTAGTGTGCTAAATCGTGTAAGGTCTATTAGGGGGTCTTTTGACTGAGCTATAGTTTGTGCCTTCATAACCATACTAGATATTACAGGTTCCGTAACTGGTACTCCCGGTTCCTAAACCTCATTATCTAAAGGCCACTCAGTTGATGATTTCCTCAACCAGGAGGGTTCTTCCCACCACAATGTATTCCCTTTCAACTCATAAGGAATACATCTTGACCCTATATCAGCTGAGTTGTCTTCAGAAGGTTAATACCTATACTTAATACCTGACTTCTTTATATTTTTTATTCTATTCTGCACAAATCTCTGTTCAGTATCAGTGTTGTTAGGTCTCAACCAGTATAGCACGCATTTAGAATCAGATCATGCTGTTATTGTGGAGGACTTTAGATTTGATTGATCTTTTACAAAATGAACAATTTTTGCCCCTACTTCTGCCGCCAGTAATTTGGCTTCGGGTATAGTTAGTGGTTTTATGGCAGTTAATCTGCTTTCTGCATATATAATGCCGGGATATATGTACCCACTGTGTTCTACGGTGGCGTATACCACTGCAGAATACCCAACTGTTGATGCGTCTATGAACACACTTAAGTTCTACAGACCATTTGGTAGGACTTGGCGGTCTATTACTATTCGTATAAACTGGAGGGGCTCAATCAATTTTTGTCATTGTTTCGCTAGAGGTGTCTTTATCACTTCATCCAATCAATATTTTTCTTTCCATAAATGTTGACAAAAATTTCTAAGAATTAGCGTAGTTGGACTTATAAAGCCTAAAAAACCCAATTGACTCGCAATGTAAGCTAGAATGTTTCAATTTGTAGTAGGCACATCCGTCCATAACTTATACCTAATTATTGTCACTTCGTCACTATCGTCTCTATCTTGGCCAGGGATTGATTGCTGTGACGGTTTATGGTTAATAATGAATTGTCTTATAATCATTTTTGCCTGTTGGAATCTATTTTTTAAGGTAGTATAGTTCTTTAGTATTTTCTTTCCATCTAATGTTGTTATGATAATATTATCTACATAGGTATTAGGCAAAATATTCTGAACCGTGGAGGCCCTATACTTTCGTAAATGAGTTTCAGTTAATGCTGCCAAAATGAATGGACTACATATTATTCCGAATGGTAGTCGTCTAAATTGTAAGTAAGTTATTTTCAGTGGGAGGCTTACTGGGGTTTTTTAACCATAGAAATTTTGTGACATCACAATCAAATGGATTAATCTCTATCTGCAGAGAAGTCTTCTTGATATCTGCTACCAACGCATAATTGCCTCTTCACCATCTTAACAAAATCCCACATACGTCTGGTAACATTACTGGACCTCTTGATAGGGCTTTGTTAAGACTGACTCCGCTATTCGTATGTGCTGAAGCGTAATATACAATTCGTAGCTTGGTGGTAGTTTTTTGCGGACTAATGACTGGTTGATACGGCAAATAATGCACCAGATTATCATTGCTTGTAGAGTCCACTAGCTCTATTATGCCCTGATTTAATCGATTCCTAACGGTGCTATGGTGATCCCATAACAACTCTTCTTTGAGTCGTAGCTTATTCCATAAAAACCTCAATCTTCCAATGCACAGCCCAAAATTATCTGCTAGTCTTGGAATAGGATCTCTCCAAGCTCTAGAACTCTCGAGACATGAAGCCATCTCAGATCAGATACCGATGTTGATGGATCTAAATTTGGAGAACATCTTCCCAACACCAACTGGGCATCCGTTTGACACGTACATTGTCAAATCATATACTATTACAAAACTGGATGGCGTCGGACAGGAGGTGCAAAAATTTGGTCAGTGGACAGGATCCGAGATTGGTGGAGGAATAGAACTATTATATCTTAGGCTCATGCTGAAAGTTATAAAAGGGTTTACCGATCAGAAGAGCACTGGGCTACAGGAATTGTTCAATATACCCGAAACCAGAAACCCAAATATGGATGGAGATCCTATATAGATGTAGTTATGGACAGGTTGCAAAGTCAAAAACTTCTCTATAATGCTCATATCCAACAATTCCGCAGCCGTCTGCCTCAACCAGGACAATTAGCAGACCTTAAACTAATAACTCTTCCCGTAGGGAAACTTTCTTTTAATGATTATTTTCTGTCCCAAGAGTACCAGATAACGGAGCCTGAGGGGCACGAGATAAAGCTAACGACGCCCTACGTCGTGGAAGCCTATCGTATAAGTCACGACGTAACCAAGTTATTAGAGAATCCTAGCAACACTGAAGAACCAAACAAACAAAGGATCAAATTGTGTGAGCAAGTTCTTTAACTTCAGCTACTTTTGCAAGGCACAGACTAATAGAAATGTTTTTCTCAAGAGCCCAACAAACATCCTTCAACATCCAAAACATCTAACCAGAAGACCTTAGCTCAAAACTGAACATCTCTAAATTATCGCCGACAAGTGATCCTGAGATGCAAATCTTGTCTAAAAGACTAAAGGCTTAGACTTTTCAAACTACGTTTAAAATGGAACCGTCATCTTACGACATCCGTCGACAATGAAATGGGATTTAACTCATTGTCAAGGCAACGGTATTGAATGACGATTTAAGCCTAAATATCCAATGCCAGCTCTCCAAGGAACAGCTAAGTCGTATCAAGAGCATAGCCCCCAATATCTTTGACGATAACCACCATACGGAATTTATATTTTACCCAGACACAGACTCAACAGGCCATGAAACCATTATAAGACTGTTAAAATATGGTCATTTGAGTTGCCAATTAAGGAATAATTTGAATCTATTGCTTAAACAAATCATTACAATAAAATTTAATGAGAAGCCTAGAGGAGAGACAAATATTACGTTCGCCTTTCCGGAGAAAACAATCCAGCCAAATAAAGAACAGGGTCAGGTCTTTCAGGCGATGAGAGACAAAACTTACCCTGTAATTTTCCAACAAGCGCCAGCTAGTACGGGGAAAACGCTTATAGCAACTGTAGCGATTTGGCAATGGTACCACTCCACCAAACGACAGACTGATATTATTGTAGTCACCGCTACCACCAATTATGCTATTCAAAATGCTGCAAAGTCATTTTTTAAATTGGTTGAAGACCTGCCAAAAGGAACGGTTATATTCTTGCAGTCGGTAGCAGCTAAATTGCGACCAGTTACAGTAAGCGGTCAGATCTGGTGCGATTGTAGAGTACCAGAGTTACTCAGGGATTTACTAGACCGTTTAAAAGACGTCATAGAAAAAACAGAAAGGAAAGAAATAGAGAAATATCGAGCAAAAAGACTAGAACATAATGGAGAAGCCTTCAAAAAAACTTTGCATTTGAAAGATTGCATCTTCATTACCAGCCGAAGATAATTTTTGTTACAACGGTAATTGTTACAGAATTCGCAGAACAACTGGCACAGAAGAACTATAAAGTAATAAATCATTTGTCATTGATGAAGCTACCCTATTGACAGAACTGAATTTCCTTAGTCTTATCTCGCGTTATCCAGAAGCAGATCAATATTTTTAACTGGAGGTGTGAAGCAATTGCCACCCTATTCGGCTTCTTTACCAGAGTGTGTCAAAGAAGTAAGGCAAAACAGTTGTTTAAATAATCTGCTGAGCCGTAAGGCTATCACTTCTATCCCCTTAAAGAATTCATACAGGTCACATCCAGTCCTGACTGACATTATTTCTAAAACATTGTATGATTCAGAATTGAAGTCATCTTCATCTGTAGAAGACCGAAGAATGTGGAAAGAGTTAAAATTTCCTAAACCCTTTGACGACATCCCGTTAATGATTCTTGATGTTCCAGGAACAGAGTGTAGAACACCCTTGCAAAGTTGGACCAACGATGAACAAAACGGAGCAGCACTAAAAATTGCTCAAAAAATTCAGTCTCATTTGCCTGGCCGATTAACGAAGTTATGTTATTATAACTCAATTTTGAGGGATCTGAGAGCGCGAAAACTCTCACTCCCGTGTTATACGGTCGATTCCTATATGAGCAGGGAGACAGACCTGGTCCTCCTTCTTACGACAAGGACGAACACTGGGCTGACGGAGAAGACCGGGAGGTTCTTCTTTGATCAAAATCGATTAATAGTGGCACTTACAAAAGCTAAAGAAGGTGTTATCGTGCTTGATAGTCAAAGACTGCTCGAAAAGTTTCCTCTGTGGAAAAAATTATTTTCCGAACTAATCAAAAGGATAGAAATTGTATCTCCAGAAAAATTTATTGGGTATCTGAATCGCTGAATTTGTCCTATTATTGTTATTGTCATCTTATTATTGATTTGAATTTTCTATTGAGCCTCGGGAGTGTCGATGAATTCATGAAATCTCCTACTTATCTCACAGCCATATTCCTTTCTCAAAATTAACCAAATTTAAGAAACCATAAAATTTTTAAGTTATTATGTACTTTATACTGTTTTTAAACCAACGTTCTAAACCATGTAATTTGCCAAATCTCAAATAGTAATGTTAAATTAATTAATTATTATTCACTCCTTTACTTTATTAATTTGGTGCTTTATTAGTTGTTTACTAAATCACAGTTGTAAAATAATGAGTTGCTGTGGTCATTAGAATCAGAAGAGGGCGGTTGACGCTATTTTATTTTGGAAGGATTTAAAGAAATATTACTGTGAACGGTCGAACAAATTTCCATTTAGCAGGTCGGCGAATTAACAAATTGTTCAAAAATTTATTATTAGCAGCCAAATTATAGTTCATACTTTTTCCAGACAAAGTATTCAAGCTGCTACCATAGAAATTTGCACTCATTAAGCTTATAATTTGATGAATACTGGCAAAATTTTGAATTACACCAACTTTGTGAAAGTAATTCTTCTTCTCTTCTCAAAATTTCTATAAACTCATTACCTATTCTCTCACACTCCATTCAACCTACAGAAGTATAAACACGCTACAAAGAGCATAAGAAATTTATATAAAACTCTAGAAAATTTTTAAATTACGGTATTTCGAAAAAAGAGAAACTAACCATTGTAACAGAGTTTTAGTTGAGCTTCAATTTAACTCAAATTAAGTTCTGTAAGGATTACAAGTTCCATAACAGAAGGGTCAATGAGGACCAGAAAATGTGAAAAGACCTAAAGGTGGGCAAAGCTGCAGCACGTGAAGAAGAGTAAGAAGAAAAGAAAACGTGATAGCGAGCAGGAATGTTAATAAGTTTATTGTAATTTGTAAATTAATGTAAATAGTAGTTCATTTCTAATTTGATTTTAATTGTCTCGTTTCTTTTTATCTTATAAATATGTAATGTTACTCTTTTACTCATTTTTTATTTGAAGTTTCTCTTAAAACTCTACGCAAATATCACTCCTAACCGTTCCCTACCTCCCTAAAAGCTCATTTTGCCTAGGCGTGATTGGTCCGCCTTCCTCTAGAGTTTCGCGATCATACGCAAAAAGTCATTAACTACAGTAAATGACCGCCGGGGCTATACTCCCTGAGGGGACGCTCTCGGAGGAGCATACTACCACGGTCGCATCAACGGGGGGAAAGGTATAAAAAGGGAGTGACAACTGGCTAGAGTCAGTTTTTCATTACAATCGAATTTTATTGATTGTCGGCGGATTTTCATATTGTTTTCTCTCTTGTTGCATGCACATAGGCAGTTAGTCATTTCCTTATTACTCTTTCTTTATAGAGGATTCTTTACTTATTATATCACCTTGTCGTGTATAATAAGGTTTGAATCGCTTCAATTAGTATCTATTACTTGTTGTATTATATGGTTTGTTGGTAATAAACTATTTAGTAGTAAGGGTAATAGCGCACGCGTAGTAATTTTAATATCTCCTCCTGTTAATAGGCTTAGGTAGATATACTACAACTGAGTAGCATTTTTACTAAACACTAGAGTTGGCATCAATTCAAGGCGAGACGGTACATAGAGGACTGAGGACTGGAAGAAGTGTTGAGCGAGAAATGAGGTATTAAGGTAGCTATAGGTTGGTGTTGTAGGTTCAAGGACTGGTTGAGCTTACAGTGGAAAGAATAGTAGAAAGGTCCCATAGAACATTATAGGAGAGAAGCTGACAAGGGCTATTCTTCAAATTTTAGAATTCCGTCTGCAATCACGACAACTATAACAAAAAATAAATTTTAAGAAAGTTTTGTAGAGAATTAAAAATTGCAATAAACAAATGAATTTTGGGACTGAGGTCTAACAAGTTAATTCTCATTTACACGTATAATCCTTTTCATGAGCCTTTCACAAAAATAAAGACTATTTGAAACATTAACTCGGCTATCTTCTCCAGGAACAGTGAGGCTCAGAAGTATTACAACTAAATGCCTGACCGATGAAGTTATCAGCAGGACCGGCTAAAACTGCAGCAGATTATCAGCCTTAGACGTCCTCATCAAAATTTTCTTTAATTAAACTGAGTACATTGCACAGGTCAGCGAAATAACTATTGAGTGGAATACAGGAAACAAAACTGACTTCGATCACTATCCCAAAGTTCTGGACCCTCTAAAATCTACTCTTCAGGGAAAACTAAATATGAAAAATTTTCAAAACCCCTTGTGCGACTTTCGAAAACAAAACGCATCATAGCTGCGCACCCAAAGATAGACTGAAGCGTTGCAGTAGGACAGTACAAAAACTCTTGCATTTATTTTACAATATATATATATATATATATATATATATATATATA